TGTAGTTGAACCCACGTGTTGCATTAACCATTTTTTGTCTTCTGTGACACAAGTACAATTGATAATAATGAACAGTATTTTGCTGTCTCTAATTTCTCTCAGTCAGCCCATCCTGCAGCTTTACACGTTTTCTTCGTAGCCCCACGTGTGAGCACACACATATATATATGCATATATACATATAAGTATATACACTAGCGATGTGCGAATCGATCCTGAAATATGGATACTTCCGATTCTGGATCTTTATGCTCTGAAATCGATTCTGAAATCAAAATATCGATACTTTTGATACTTATGCATTCTGAGATGAGGTGTATCCTAAACAGAAACATGGTGAAAAGTATCCAAATTATTGAGATGTTGTCTAAGTGACGCTCGGTTGGTGGGACTACTTCTTCTTCCGCCTGGGTGTGTGCGTCATGCGTAAGCACAGGAGGCTCTACTCCGTGCTCTCACTCAGTCACTATTGATGGGAATTTCGGCTCTTTTTTGGAGAACCGGTTCTTTTGGCTCGGTTCACTGAAAAAATCCGACTCTTTCGGGTCCCAAATGGCTCCTCAGATTATTTATTTTATTTTATTTTTTTATTTTTGTTTTACAAATAACATGTTTTCAGAGTTTGAAACATTGTTTTGACATATTTTATATGATTGTGTTCTCAAGGTTTTCTATTGTTGTGTTGACTGTATAGTAACTACCTCAGTACACTCCAGAGTTTAAAATACATAAATAAATAAAAAACTATGCCTTGGATTCTTAAAGAAGCTATGATTTGAAATACACTTTTTTTTTTTAATTTAAAAGACAAATGATAAAATATCGGTATCGATATCGGTATCGGCGATACCAGCTCGAATTTTACTCGATATCGGATCGTAAAGGAAATTGGTGGTATCGAACATCACTAATATACACACATATACAGTATATGTATATACTAGGGTGCAATGATGAACACAGAATTCATGGTTTAGTTTAGTTTGGTTTGATACTTATAGTTAGATATTTATTCTATACACCCTCCAGAACCTATTACTCATGCACTGTTCTTGCACTAGAAAAAAGTGAATCTTGTAAGTTACCTGGCAGGTACATTCAGAGCACGGGTTTCCTGGGTCAGGAAGTGACTGCCCATTGATGAGAATTGCATTGTTATAGAAGCAACCTAATAAGTTAAGATATAAATGATGTCAGGAAAAAAAAAAAACCAACATAACTTTATCTTCATTATTAACCAGTGTTGATTTTGACTTCACTTACGTTGACATTCACCACAGCATTGCCCAGATGGTTTATATGGATGGCTACATTCCTCATTACATTGTATTTTGCTGCAGATGACGTCTCCTCTGTAACAGTAACAAACACCACAGGGGTCTTTGTAATCAGCAAACTCGGTACCTTCAGGATATTCCTTACTCCGGAACGTGCAGCCTGCAGTTGGAAAACAAGACAATAAAGCTGAAAAACTTGAGCACAGAGGTTTAAATACACAACACTGCTTTCAGCCATACATCTCCGATGTATGTAAAAATTGAAAACTAAAATAATTGATTAAATTATGTTTTTTTTTAGATGTTTTATAGGGGCGTGTACTGGCAAGAACCTGGCGTTCACCAACCAAAAAAAAAAAAACAAGATCGTTTGACTCAAATACTTGTGCTAATTACAATTATTTGTAAATGCTAACAGTAGCCGCAGTTGTATTTCCTGTGGTTTTAATGCTCATTTGCCACGATCTTCACCTGTACCAGCCTTTATCTCCCAGTAGACGGCGCTAAAAGTGAGAAAAAAAAAAAAAACTAAACTAGAAGTGAAGCAGTGCCTGGGCTACTGAAGGAGTTCCGGTTGTTTCTCTTTCATGATCGTAGGTTGTTCTTGGGCGAGCTAATAACTGCTGCCATCTAGCGGTTGCAAAACAAAAATAAAAAAAACCCAAAAACCAATACCATTGATATTTGCATGTTAATTGTTAATTGTTAATTGTTAAAATTGATACTACGCTGTAAAATATCGACACTGTATCGTGAAATTAAATATTGCAATAGATCAAGGTATCGATATTTTCTTTCACTTTCATATTGCTGACACTATAAGTTGACAAAAAAAAAAAAAAAACAAAACTCTTTAGCCCTTTAAAAAAATAGAATAAAGGTAGTGTTAGGTGGTTTTACAGGTAACCAACCATCACAGGACATGCAGCACTGTCCTTGTATCGGGTGCTTGCAGTTGGATGGTGGACATGGTCTCCTTGTACAGCGAACAGAACCCTCATGACACCGACACCGAGCGCACAGGTCTGATGCGTCGTTCCATGTTTCTCCATTGGTTCTATGCTGACCCTCGTGAAAACAACCTGTCAGGGAATAGGAAACATGGCGATATACTGAGACTGATTGTGAACAGGAGACCGAATAGTAGGTTTTCTGCAGTACTTAAATGTACCTTCACAGGTCAGGCAGCACTCTTTAGTGATGCCATGAGAGCAGCCTGCGAATGGGCACGGCTTATGCTGACAGCGTACCGTGCCATTGGTGCAGGTGCATCGTTGACAGCTGTCAACTGGGTGGTAAAAATGCTCAGCGTGTCTGTAGATTCTTTGTTCGTAAACACAATCCAACGGAGGTGCTGAAGAGTCATCGAGAAAATCAATATTAGCCCTTTCATGCATGACGGTCACTACAGTGGACAGCTATGAAAATGTCATTTTCTATGATAAGAATAGGTTTTGATGGCAGTGTTGCATATAAGCCTCTACGGTGGACGCCTGAGAATCACCCAACACTGCCATACAGTGGTCAGCCTTTGCAACTGCAGAATAATTGTGTCAACATTCAAAAAGAAAATTTGGTGTATAAAAACAGAACCAAATCAGTTCTTATTTTTATGTCTAAAAACATAAAAACACTTTTAGGTTTGCAACTTTTAGAATGAGAACAACCCATAAAACAATTTATTTTAAATGTACTTTGATCTACACACCAGAGTGTTTATTTTTATGACCATTATAAGCAAAGGTTACAGAGTTGCTCTTTGGGCTCCTGGAAGAACATTTCACCTGTGTATGTATGTATGTGTTTTAGTGCGTCAGGGCAAACCTCCAACATGCATGATACAGAAAGCAATTGAAAACTCTAAACGCAGGACCATGTAAAGGCTAGGACAGTTGGTTAAATAAAGGACAAACGATGTTGTGTCCTTCATCGGTCACTGTACACATTTCTGTTACAAATGACGGTTAACTGTGTCCATTAACTGTTCAATGGTGACAGATGTAAAGCATCAGAAAACGACCCTAACCCTAACCCTAACCCTAACCCTAACCCTAACCCTAACCCTAACATCACTGTTGTACAGTTTCCCATCAGTACTTACCAGGACACTGGGGGCAGCACTCTCCCGGTGAAACATTTGGGTATGGGCATGTCAGCACTGGACACCTTTTCATCAGACACTGGACATTACCATTCTGTAAAAAAAAACAGTAAGTGAAATAGAGTGAATACCACAAAGAAGTTCATGCACAAAGGTCTGTTATGGGGAGATTTTTTTCAATATATTTACGATGCAGCTGCAGGTTCTACATCGGTCAGTAGGGTGAGGAAACTCCAGTCCGTTTGCAAAGTCTTTCCCAGCGTAGCTGCAGCCTGAGTGGAAGAGGACAGGGAAACGTTAAGACGCCAGCTTGTTGATTTAAATGACTGATTATAGTGATTAAAAAAAAAGATTTGGTCTCACCATCACAGTTGTTTTGACAACATGTGCCATGACGAGGTGAATTGCAGAACGGACGAGGACAAGGTATTTGGTGGCAGTCTATCTTACCACTCGCACACTTACACTCTTCGCATGTATTGACAGGATTGAGAAAGGCCTGTCCGTCTACAAGGACCTGGTTTTCAAAGGTGCAGTCTGAAAAACATTCAAAAGCAGATGCAGTAAAACTGTGTTTTAATATTGATTGTAAGATTTTAAGATTGTAAGCGCTCCTTTCATGATGTTAAAAATGAAAAAGCAGTGGAAATAAAGTATCGTATTTTCCGGACTATTAGTCACACTTTTTTTTCATCCTTTTGCTGGGTTTGCGACTAATATATCAAAATACACAATTTCACTTTTGTTATTTTCACACTGACAGCCGCTAGAGGGCACTCTAGGCTTATGTACCAGTATTTGCTACTCCTGTACTGCTGAAAATTGACATGTTTGCTATTTTCACACTGACAGCCACTAGAGGGCACTCTAGGCTTGTGTCCCAGTATTTGCTACTCCTGTACCACTGAAAATTTACATGTTGATTATTTTCACACTGACAGCCGCTAGAGGGCACTCTAGGCATATGTACCAATATTTGCTACTCTGTACTGCTGAAAATCTACATGTTCGCTATTTTCACACTGACAGCCACTCGAGGGCACTCTAGGCTTGTGTACCAGTATTTGCTACTCCTGTACCACTGAAAATTTACATGTTGATTATTTTCACACTGACAGCCACTAGAGGACACTAGTGCAAGGCCGGAGCAACTTACATATGTTTTTTTTTCTTCTTCATGATGCTTTTTTTGGCTGGTGTGACTTATACTCTGGAGTGACTTATAGTCCGGAAATTTTGGTAATGCTGATATGGTAATTTTAGAGGCAAAGTGACTTTCAATCTATCGATCAATCAATCTCACAAACATTCTCTCATATAGGGAGAGCTTACTGAAATCTGAAAAC